ACCACACAGACTCCTTGCTGATACCAGGACAGCCTGTCATTAGTCCAGCCTGCTGGCATCACAAATGCCATTATCTGGCTAAACTAATCATCACTTTATCACTAGAAAATGTGCTGTTTATTTTATAAGAGTATGGTAGGCCCTTGAAATAATTCAATTGCTTCAACTGATCTTACAGCACGCACTCCACTGGCCTGCAGGGCCACTTTCCATGGCTTCTGCTCTTCAAAGGGCAAGCTGCCAAGAAAAAGGGTTTGCAGGAGAGCCTGAACGAAGCTTGGGGAGAGAACAGAGTCCATCCACCAGCCCGAGGACAAAGAGATGCTGCCTGGGATCTGAATTTTCTGGCACCTAAGCAAATGCAATGGATGATTGTCCCTTTGCTAGGCTGCCTAAGAGAACTGAGGGGACAATTTGTATATGATTGTTTGTGGTGGCAGAATCAGGCTTGGGTATTAATTGAGAAGGCCAAATTGTGGGCAGAGAGTTTGGGAGTTTCCCTTGGTGCCCAAATTCTGCAAAACACACTGCTGATCACATCAACAGGCTGATCCCTCTGGATTCACTGCACTTCTGAGCATGGAAAAAAACCTCTGTGTCCTCCTCAGCAGGTCCTACCCCACAGGGTGGGGAGACCTGGTGAATCACCCGCCTGCCGAGCAGAGCTGGAGCTCCCAGAGATGTGCAGCACCATGTGATTCCTCTTTAATTACACAGGGACTTAATAGAGTTTGCTAGTAAACACCTTGTAACCACATGTGCCTGGAGATTACCGGGTAATTATGCTTAGTGGATCACGATGTAACAGGGAGCACGATTTAGGAAAGACAGAAATAACCAGGCAAACATCCTGCATTCATCAGTATCTGTCATGCAGCCTTCCTGCCCAAATGCTTAGCTGTCCAGCCTTTCCTCATGTCTCCTTCCCTGGCTTTCTGAGAGTAGGGGAGCCCCTCGGCAGGAATTTGAGAGGTGCCAGGGATTGGGATGGTCTGGGGAAACTTTCCGCTTGGCATTCCAAATCCCCTGCAAGAGCTCTCCATGCTCTGACAGGCTGTCAGCTGCTCAGAGGAAGAAGGATGGGGGATAAACGGTACTGGCTCACCCCACCCTGACTTAGTTTGCCATGGAGACAGATTCTGGCCTTCCTTTCCAAGGGTGCATGCTGGGCACAGAAAGGAATCTGGAAGATCTCTGCTTTGTGAGCCAGTCCCCAATCACCCACTGCCACACTGATCTAGATCCTGCCAAACCTGGTTCGACCCAGGAGCTCTCCAGGGTTTCACGTCCCCAGGAGTTGTGATGCCATTGCTCAAACCAGTGTGGCCCAGAACAACAAGGGGCACCTTGCTCCTGACAAGATCAGTGCCAAGATTTTCAGCAGCCCCCCTCCCACCCCAACAGAGTTGGAGCAAAAAAGAGATGTGTAAATCCTATGGGGCCTACTGGGATGACCCCTTCTCACAGACACTAGTCACTTCATGGACCTGCAGCACCCAAAACTGATGGCTCCCTCCAAAACAGCAAAAGGGATTATTCACACTCACTTCAGAGAGTCTTAAATCCTCTGGGCAATGACAGCTTCAACCCTTTGCTTTTTAATGAGCACAAACACAGCATCGGTCCTGTTAAACTCCCTGCACAGATTCCAAGGGAGGTGTTGAATGCAGACACAGGAGATTTCAGGGGGTGATTTTAAGGGATGTTCTCTTGGGCAAGGGTTTGTAGTACAAGCTCCAGCTTCACTGGAAACCCCAAGCAGCACTGATAGGACTGTTTACTAAGGTATGAATTCATTTGCAACCAATTAGCAGCACTAACCAGAGTGAGAGGCAGCGGTAGCATAGCTAATGTACATACCAGCACTGTGCCCTCCAAATGCTCACTGCACACCCAGCCAGCACCTCCTTGCACCCTCAGGGCCATCTGATCTGCTCTGCAGCCTCAGGATATGAGTTTATGCCTGAGATCAAGGGCTTTTTCCTCTTCATCTTAAAAGCAAGATTTCTATATGGCTTTGCCTTCATTATGGGAGAGATGATGACATGGGGCCTCCAACCCTGGGCCCCATACCAAGGTGAAAAGCAAACCTCTGTCCACTCAGCAAGTGTGCTGTGCATGGAGCATCTCCAGAGATACATCTGTAGCCCAGCAAATCCTGCCCAGGGCTCTTGGAGGCTTCACAGATAGCTTTGCTCAAGAGCATGGCTTGAGGCCAGCCATGGCCCACAGCCACAGGTTTCCTGCCTCACATCAACCTCAGACAGGAGAGAAGTGTTAACAAAATGCACCAAGCAAAATGGAAAGGAGTGGTGGGAATTCACAGATCAGATGGTGGCATTTTATCCTCAGCTGCAGCATCTCATCAATTTGCCAAGCCCCAAAATTTTAGTGCTGCAGCCACAGGTACATCTGTACACCATCAGGCCTTGCACAGTCTGGCTTCATCATCTATCCTCCTCCTCTTCCAGTGCCTCCCTCTCTCCTCCCATCTGCACAGGCAGGGTCCTGTGCACCAGAGGGAGACCAGACTGAGGAGGCTGGAGTGTCCTCGAGCCTGCTGGTGGATCCCACTGCATCCGAGCCCTCAGTCACTACAGGGGATGGGGGGAAAAACAGACAAAAAGTCAAAGAACAGAGCAGCAGAGCTGGCCATGCCTGGGAGGGCTGGCAAGCCTCTGATAACAAGTAGCACCAAGCTCACCTGAGCCACTGGACACTTTTTGCACCAAAGGGGTACAAAAGGCACGGCAAGTCACAGCCAGGGAACATCAGTGGAGTGGAACAGAGATGGCACAGAGAACACTGACACAAGGACCCTGGGCTTTGTTTTTTTTACTCATGGAGAGACAGCTTTGAGGGATGCAGGCTGGGAAGGGATGTGCAGAGCTTGGCGAGGCAGCATCCAGAGAGGAGAGACAGCTTTTAGCAATGTTCACACCAGCCACAGAACATGCTAACGGAAGAGGTGGCCCCACACCCTTGCTCACAGAACCAGCTGGGAGAAGATCGTGCCATTGCTAAGAACAGAGATGAGCCAGCATTTGGGTATGGCAAGCCCTGCTTTGAGAACCTCAGCTACTGGGAAAATGTCTGGAAGCCTAACAGGGCAAAGCCCACTGCCTTGCAGGGTTTGCACACCCCTTCTACCTAGTGTGGTCCCAAAGGGACAAGGAGTAATCCATAAATAATCAGCCCACAGCACAGTAAGTGATCAGATGTCACAGAGTTGCCTAACCTTTACTAAAATACATGGCTACTTAGAACGAGGTAATGGCAATATTTAAGTAAAGACTGCAAAGCCATCCAAAGGGCTGGGCAAGAGCCATGGGAGCAGCCTGCTGCTGGTAAATCCAGAAGCTGAGGCACAGCTGAGTGAGGTGCCCAAGGCCACAGAGCAAGGCAGCAGCAGAAGGAGGAGCAGCTCCCAAGGGACTCCCAGCTCTGTGCTCACTGCCTGCCCAGTGGCCTCCTCCTGTGAGTCACGTCAGAGCAACGGGCAGGCAGCACGTTTAGTTCCCTGGCATCTTGCTGTGTGTGGGAGGACCCAGCTGAAGGAGTTTTGCAGCACAATCAGATAGTTATAACACACCAGTGCCATAAACAGCCCTTATCTCCATCAGCAGCTAAGCCAGCTATTAAGAGCTGGAAAGGAATCCCAAAAGGAACCAACACGCATTTGTCAAAATTGGCTTAGAGGAAGCTTAACAGTCCCACCTGACCACGGTGGTCACGACACTGACACCACAGCCCTCTCAGCACCGGACCAGAGCTCATCACCCAGAGGAGCAGAGGGAGGACCCTTTGTTATCAGGCATCCTGCAGGCTCAGAAAGAATCAGTCCCTATTGTTTCCTACCTGGGCAGCGCCAGCCCTGGTCCCCCGGGAAGGGGGCTTGCTCCTGTCCCAGGTGTGGCTTGTGCAAAGGGCACCTGGAAAGTTTTCTTGCCTCTGACACAGCCCAACAGAGCTGGAATCACCTGTTCTGTTGCCTTGCAGCGTGCCAAGGCATTTTTCACGGTGTTTTGCTTGGGAACCACCCCAAGCCCTCGGATTGAGAAACCTCAACACGCCGGTGCAATGGAGAAGTTGCTGCTCTGCTGCTTTCTGCCTGGGGGATTGCTCGTCACTTCACACAGCCTCCAGGACCCACAGGAGAGAGGGGGGGCTTCCCTGGACAGGTTATCCCAGGATGAAGCCCCTCAGGTGGCCATCAACATCAACTGCTTTGCCTATGGGTTCACTGCTTTTAAAGGAAGGGATCAAAGCTGTGCCAGCGAGGTGGGTACAGCTGTCACACATCACATCAGTGAGGAAAAAGAAATTGATTGTGACTTGATCAAACCTGATCAATCCTTCCGGACTTTGCAACAAGGACACAAAACCAGAAGTGACCAGACTTGTACCAGGTGCCAGTTCTCATCTTATGCAGCACATTTCCAAGCTCTGCTTCTTTAGAAATTCATACATAGTGCATGAGTGCCTCTGTCCCTGTCTCACACGCACAATAGAAACACCCACATCCCCAGCTGCAGAAGGTTCATGTTTTTCAGTATTGCACCTGTGCTTTGCTCAGGTCCCTGGTTTCTGGGTCCCTCCTTACCCTGCTCCTCCTCCCCATCGGCTCCTTCCCGCATGTCCGTTTGTCCACAGGCACTGGCAGCAGCAAGTGAGCCTGCTGCCTGTCAGAGCGCTCCTGGCTCCCTCTCACCATGTTGCGTATCGACATTTTAGTCGATGATCTGCCCTCCAAACCCCAGAAATACAAGCCAAGAAAAGTACTCAGTGGAGATAAGCACCACAGCTCAGCCCACATGAAAGACAGGCCAGGAAAGCCAGACCCTGTCAGAAAGCAAAACGCAGGCAGGAAAATAAACCAAAATTCCATCCCACTAGGCTTGTCAACGCTGTTATGACATTTTCTTTCCAATTCCTCCCAGCCAGATCGGCGCGGTATCAGCCCCATTCCCACAGCGAAGGCAAGAGGAAGCCGTACTCACTGCTAGTGCTCATCCTGCCGGTCCTCCCCTGTCCTTCTCATCCAACAAAGGGGCAAAGATGCTCTTTAAATCCGCTTTTCCTGTCGGCCCCCGACCGCGGGAGGAGGCTGCCTCTCTCCTTCCCAGGAGAAATATTTCCGTGCGATCCGCCGCTATCACATCCCACGGCGGCTCCCCGATCCAGCGCGGCTGTCCCCAGGGCTGTCCCCAAGGCTGCGGGATGGCAAGGTCACGGCTGCCGGCGGCGGGGC